TTTATAATGTACAGGACTTTGGAAAAATAGTACCACTTTTCTTTTAAAAATAAATAAAAATTCATATTTGTTTTGGTACTACCTCGTCCTAAGTAGAAATTAGAACTATAGGGAATGAAAAATGATAGTTTTATTTTGGGCCTTGAGAACCCAATAGGAATAATTTCCCTGTAGTACATAGCTTTCTTTTCTTTTTGGGCCACTCTTTTGGACTTAGCCAAACTAAAACAGTTACGTTTCTCAAACCAAATGAAACTGATTTTCTATTTGGAACAGTTTCAATCCATTCGTAACTGGTAAAAGATTCCTTTTACTTTTCAACTTCTTGGAAGTTGAAACTCCTTTACTCTCACCGTTCCAACTACCCACTTAATGGAACCCGTGAACCTCCTCCTCCCCTATTTAAATCAAGATATGCCAATCCATTTCCATCACAAACAATTCTCTAAATATGAAAGTCTTCAAGTTCACTGTCTGAGAAAAACACCAAGAAAATATCCTCAATGGAGAAATTTCTTTTTCTCACCCTCATAGACGGCAATGGAGAAAAGCCTAGTGAGAAGGAAAGTAATTCAAAGGTTATGGTGCAATTCTCGGCAGTAGAGAAAGTTTATGGTGTAATTCTCGTATTTTTCAGGATTATACCATACACTTTCTCTGGAACAACACTCTCTCTATTTTTTTCTTTTTATTTTTACCTTGATCTCTTTCCCCTCCCCTTTCCTTTCTTTACTTTTTCTAAATCTTTTTTTAGCAGTCCCCCCAATTTTCTTACAAGTTTTTTTTGGGTGGTACCTCTGCTCCCTTCTCTCAAGGAGTTCTCAAATTTTTTTTTTCTAGAACTCTTTTTCAAAATTTCTTTTAATTTTTTTTTTCATCTTTAAAAACTTTATTTTATCTTTTTCACAATCAATTCTCTTTTCCAAAACCTTTTTCTTTCTTGTCAATTTATCTCTCTTTTGTTTTCTTATTTCATTTTTATTTTTTTGAGAGATGTGTTGCTTCCTAGATCTTGGTTATCCACCTTGGATAATAGAGATCTATCAAACGCAACGCCAACCGCTCCGCCAAGCAGAATCTGCTGCAGCTGAAAACGGTCAATGGCGGAAGATATCACAAAATCTCAAGACAAGACTTGGTTTAGGAATTATTATAATTTGAATTGTATTTGCTTAAGAGTTTTTGTTAACAAGCTGTATATTATGAGAAACTAAAAGAAAGTTATAAAATTAGTTCTCAGTACAGCGACCGGAACTCTTAAACAATTGTTTGTCATCATCAAAAAGGGGGAAATTGTTGGGAAAAATATTATAGATTTTGATAATAATGTATTTAGAATGTATTAAGGACTTTAGGTCTCCCCCAATATTCAATGTAATTTTTCTTTTTAGAAATATTGTCAAAACCGAGCTCTTGAGATTTCCAATAAAGCTGTGATATTTCTTTAAGCGTTTTGATGCCTGAAGACTTAGGGGCTGTTTGGCAACTTCTGAATGGGTAAGTGCTGAACCAGTAAGGGGTCTGAACCATTAAGTGCTGAACCAGTAAGAGGTCTGAACCATTAAGAGCTAGTATATTGCTTAACTATTCAGAGGCAAATGTCTGATCAATTCAGATAAGAGGTCTTAACCATTCAGACTCTGTATAATACTTAACCATTCAGAGGCAAATCTCTTAACCATTCAGACATCTGAACCATTAAGAGGCTGAAACAAACAG